AAAATGCTTAGAAGGTTTTTTTTTGGGGGGGGGTGGAATTTATGAAAAAAAAACCCACTTTTCCAGTGCATCTCTCTATTTTTCACCAGAGGATCTAGAGAGAAAAATATGCTCAGAATTTACTGTTTGAAGTCTGTAGATTGGTAAACATATGCCTGCAGAATTTTTTCTTAACCTTTTTTTTTTGGAATATCAAAAGCACTGCTCTGAACCATGCAGATAACAAAAATACACTCTGTAGACTGGATATTTGGCACTTTAAACTTTATATATTGACTTTTAAAAAATCCTTGGACAAGGAAGTAAAATTCTGATACCAATATTGATCAATGTCAATTTATCTACACTGAAAAAAAAAATCTTCACCAAACAATATATGCATTTGCCTATGTAAACATTTTTTTTATATATCACTGCAACTTTGCATATATCACATATTTTGGTCAACAATGCAAAAAATAACCTTAAAATCTTATACATAAACCTTCTGAATATTTTTTTTTCATTTCAGCAAGATACAAACAGTCAGATTCAAATATACCCATTAAAATATTTAAAAAGTAATATATACATGTATGCTAAAATTTTTGTATTAAAATATCATTAGTGAATTAATGGCAATCAAAATTTAACCCGAAACATCATCTCTAAAAACCATTTTCTTGTTCTAAATCCTATACCTGTAAATCTCAGTGTATTCTCCTATATTACTGGCTTGGCCTAGAAGCTCGGATTTTCTATTTTTCAAAGGTTTGATCCTTCTGTCATTGCTTGGCAATGTACGGGCATAGGCAGACTTCCGAGAGGCTCTCTTTCTGACAACAGCTTTCAGACTGCTGGACTCCGAGGCCGTCTCGCTCTGTCGGTCAGCATTGTCCTCACCCTCAGTTTTCCTCCTTCTGACCACTAATGTTTGTTTTCCGTCCCAGTCCTTCTGTGTGTGGTCAAGATCAATTCTGGTGTTAAAAGTTTCTCCATCACTCTCACTGCTTTGTGGTATTTCATGGTGTCTTCTCCTGAGACCAGCATCTGTGTGATCGTAGTATCTTGGATTAACATGTTCATACTCTTCCCTCTCTCTTCCAAATCCCCCTGGTTCTTTTCTAATTTCCATTGGAGTTGCCTTTGTTTGGAAAATCTCTTCATTGTCATCACTGTATGCATCATTTTCAGTTCCTCTGTATGACCTTTCTTCATAATGTCTTGGTGTGTTAAACTGCTGTGACCTTGGTGAATAATCTTGAGACATTGATGAGTCAAAATCTCTATTCCTCTGTGAATCATAATCTCGACTCCTTGGAGATTCAAAATCTCTATTCCTTGGTGATTCAAAGTCTCTATTTCTTGGTGAATCAAAGTCTCTACTCCTTGGTGAATCAAAGTCTCTATTCCTTGGTGAATCAAAGTCTCTGTTCCTTGTAGAATCAAAGTCACTAGGTAATTCAAAGTCTCCATTCCTAGATGCATCAAAATCTCTACTCCTAGAAGACTGGAAGTCTCTATATCCTATTGAGTCAGAATCTCTATATTTTGTAGAGTTAGAGTCTCTATTTCTTGGCAAATTAAAGTCTCCATTCTTTGAGGAATGAAAGTCCCCATTCCTCAAGTCAAAATCTCTATTCCACTGTGACTCAATACCTCTAAATAAATCTGGATCTTGATAGTCGGGTGAATCAAAATCATCTCTAGCTTCCAGGTAAGAATTCCTCTGGAACTGATAATCCTTACCCCTTCCATCAAAGTCCTCTTCAAAACCTGGATTGTAATACGCATTATTTGGCGGACCATGGTACTGGTCAAACTCTCTCTTTTGCCACTGATGTGCCATTTTTGCTTTTAAAAAAGTGATTGGGGACTGCACTTAAAAAGCTCTAGGCTGACTGGGTACACAGTTTGTGACAGGGCCTAGTCCCCCTACACAATGCTATTGATAAGACATTCAATACTGATAAGACAAATGATCGAACTCTTACATTCTTCTTGTGTCACAAAAAAGCATGTGTACAGCGAGGAATGGACAAAAAAAATCTAAAGAAGTTAACAAAGTCTGAAGTGTTACAAGGTAAAAACAGAAGCACTAGGTTACAGTACACAGCTGAACAGAGCGCTCAGTATTATTTATCATTATGCAAAGAAAACTGATAAGATAAATAGATACAGAAAAAGTTACAATATCAAAACTACAGTGACATAATTGAAATAAATATATCTGATTAAAATTTGTTCATATTCTTTCTTTTAATTAATCAATTAATTTTTGGGGGGTGGAGGGTCCTTCAATCTGAAATTCATTTTGTTTTTAAATTATACATTTTAAAGACTTTATTACATTAGAAAGACTATTTACATATCGTATGAAATAAGATTACACACAATTTTAACTCCTCCGCCTTTTTTCCATGAGAGGAAAAGTTAAATGTCTAGCTAAATTTAAAAAAAAAAGAAGAATAAAAAGCAAAAAAACAAGAGGCCCAGGGGCCACAGCGCTCACCTGAGCATATCGGCTAGGAAAAAGCACTTATCAAATCAGACCTGAAAGTTTACTGAGGTAAGGGGGGGGGGGGCTTGAATTTTAACCCTCCAGGGGGTCATACTTTGAACAAACTAGAATCTACACTACCTGAGGATGATTCCATATAAATATCACTAATCATGGCTTTGAAGTACTTGAAAAGAAGATTTTAAAAGATTTCCCTATATATTCCTATGTAAAACTTTGGTCGGCCATTTTGGCCCCACCCTAGCCCTGGGGGTCATGATTTGAACAAACTTGAATCTACACTACCTGAGGATAATTTCACATGAGTTTCATCTTTCCTGTCTCAATGGTTCTTGAAAAGAAGAATTTTAAAGATTTTTCCTATATATTCCTAAGTAAAACTTTGGTCGGCTATTTTGGCCCCACCCTAGCCCTGGGGGTCATGATTTGAACAAACTTGAATCTACACTACCTGAGGATGATTCCACTTGAGTTTCATCTTTCCTGGCCCCGTAGTTCTTGAGAAGAAGATTTTTAAGTATTTGTTCTATATATTTCAATGCAAAATTTGCATTCCCCATTGCAGCCATGCCTTACCCCCGGGGGTCATGATATTAACAAATTTGAATCTACACTACTTGAGGATGATACCACATGAGTTTCAATTTTCCTGGCCCAGTGGCCCTTGAGAAGAAGATTTTTAAAACATACCATCAAATTTTCACTATTTCTAAATTATCTCCCCTTGAATAAGGGCGTGGCCCTTCAATTGAACAAACTTGAATTCCCTTCACCTAAGGATACTTTGTGCCAAGTTTGGTTGAAATTGGCCCAGTGGTTCTTGAGAAGAAGTCGAAAATGTGAAAAGTTAACAACAACAACAACAACGACGACAACAACGACGACGACGACAGACGATGGACAAATTTTGATCAGAAAAGCTCACCAAGATGTTTGCCTCTAACACAAGTCTAATTCTATATAACTTTAATCAATCTGAGGCTTGTGTAAATAACAGCACCAACAAGGTGTCAATAATGATTTATTTTAATACTTGACATTGACATTCAATGCTAAAAATAAGAATTTTACTTCCTGTTCATTATCAGCCCAAAAGAAAAGGGGTTCCCCTAGATCAATGCTTTCAATATTTATCAGCTTAGCATGACATTTACCGTGATTATGAATAAACTGAATCTCAGTTTAGATGATTCTTCCTTTCTCCTTGTGCATTATTTGTACTGGTCATTATTTAAGGGCATCTGACACATAGCACACTGAAGAGTTCCAATCCATGTTACATGTTCACCGGTCTGACTAAAGCCAGCCCCTACTACTTCACTTTGTTAGGGGCTGCCTTTTTTATCAGACTGCATGTACACATACACAGAATGATGCTGCTAGAGTGATCTCGCAGCCCTTTAGCATAAAGATAAATGTACTTGTAATATAAATTCAGGTACATTTACATATTTAACCTGTCAAAATATAAACATTAACTATCTATCTATAATATCTTAAATCTAAGAGTGCAAAAAAAAGAGTTGTCTTTCTTTTTCAAGTTTTACAATATTCCTATACTAATGGAAAATTGTAATAAACTCAAAAACTCTGTGAGGTTTTGGATAATATCTGCACTCTTTGAAACTTGAGCATTTTGGCTAGCTCTTTTTAATCTTTACATCCTGTATTTTTCAAGCTTTTTAGTGTGATATTTTGTGCATTTGAGGCCATCAAAAGTGAATTTTCATTGTATGACATGTACATTCTTCATGCAAAATGAATTCACTTCATTCATATTTTAAATTTTATTTAGAGAATGAAATGGATATCGTAGATACAGATTTGAGGGTTGAGTTTTCTAAATGACTTGTGATACAATAGCGGTGGGTACAATAGCATTTATATGACACTTCTCCAAAGCTATCACCTGTATTTCCGTTTGGTCTGGATATTGGCCACCATACTCTTGATGCTCTGTCTTCTCTCCCATTGGTCCAATTTCCCTTCAGAAGTACCCCCTGTCATGCTCATCAACCTGGACATCCGTCTGGTTGCCATGATTCTCTCATCATCTTCTTTCTCATCCTCTTCATCACACAGTACCTCGATATTTTTTTAATTCACATCTTTATAATGATATATTTGATCTATACTATGGAACGCCGTCACTGCCTTATAGCAGAACACAACAATTGCACTGCGTCAACCTTCAATTACATTATGTCAACTCCATATGACAGTTACTCACACAACTATTACATTGTGTTAACCTTCTATTACATTATGTCAACTCTACATGATATTAACTCATACTACTATAGCATTGTGTGAACTTTCCTTTACATTATGTCAACTCTTTATGACATTTGCTCACACTACTATTGCATTGTGTGAACTTTCCTATACATAATGTCAACTCCATATGACAGTTACTCACACTACTATTACATTGTGTCAACCTTCGGTTTCATTATGTCAACTCTTTATGACATTTACTCCCACTATTATTTTATTGTGTCAACCTTCCATTACATTATGTCAACTCTTATGACATTTACTCACACTACTATTGCGTTGTGTTAACCTTCCATTATATTGTGTCGATTCTTTATGATATTATTCCACACTACTATTGCATCGTGTAAACCTTCCTTTACATTATGTCAACACTTTATGACATTTACACATTCTTGCATTTCGTTATGTTTACTGTTCATGACATTTAATTAAACAACAATTACATTGTGTTAACCTATCATTACATTATGTCAATTCTTTATGATATTAACTCACACTACTACATTATGTCGATTCACTATTACGTTATGCGAACACGGGTATCCTCGGCCTTTATATGAGCATACCGTATTTTCCGCACTCGGCAATCCTCGGCTGACTCCGCTACGCTCCATTCAAACGTTATGTGCGAGGTACGAGTCATCCGAGGAATTCCGATTGTATTTTCCGCGTTCCGAGAGCACTAAAATTGGCGGGAGAGAAAATTGCCGTAGAAGAAATCTCAGCGATTTGGGAATGGCATCTTTAAATAAAAATTTTAAGCGACAAAGGATTGACAATCTTGAAACGTGCAAAGCCTTAACACTGCGACTGTGAATTAAAGTCACGTCGAAATTCAATGGCGTTTACTTTAATCTGATAATTAAATAAATCAAATATTATGAGTCGTGCAGCAATTTTTTTTCTTTTTATTTTGAATTGTTGTTTGTTTATTTGTTCTTTTTTTGGGGATAAAAGTCTTAAACTTCTAATCTTACTAAGAACATTGTCATAATTTTTTTTTATCAGTCTTGAACTTTCCTTTTTTTTAAAAGTGTAAACACATCGTATAACACACGTGCACTGGTGGGTTGGGGGGAGAGGGAAATCCCGCCCTACCATCTTTAGTGACCAAAATCTACATGTACAAAAAAATTAATAAATTTATTGGTTTTACTTTGTAGGACATTGCACTAGTTTCACATTAAGTTTAGCTGAATTAAGTTGAAAACTTTTTTTTATAAAACTATAAAGCCTGAGAGCTTCTCTGCTTTCCCCCTTGGTCTCCAACCATAAACCGTCCCCCTTCAGGCTTGGACAATTTTTTTGTTCAAGATTCTCATATCCGCTACTGATATGTGTTCATGCATGCTTACTAAGGCATATTCAATTGATTTAGATGAGGGATTGGTAGATTTTTTGTAATAGAATTCTGGCCCTGGAATAGTTGAAAAAATTACTAATTCCAGTGCGTGACGTATCATCTTTTTCGAAAAGAGGGGGGGGGGGGGGGGGGTAAGCCAGAAAAAAAATATTCGCCCGAAAAAAAAACTTGAGAAGCCAAAAAAAAAAAAAAAAAAATTGTCCAAGCCCGAAAATCATATTTCGGGGAGGGGGGTCCAACTTCGATCAGACCTAATTTTTTTGTCAGATATATACTACATTACCCTCAGTGGACTATACTTCAACAAAAAGTGGGGGTGGGGGCTGTACTTTCAACGAACATTACATTTCCTATTGTAAAGTTATGTTTGGGAAAAGAGGGGGGTTGATATTTTGTGCCTCTAATTCTTCCGTATCAATCAGGACCCCCCCCCCCCCCCCTCTTACCAGTCATAAAAACACGGTCGTCAACATTCATTTTATACCAGATATACAGCTTTGAGATAATGTAAATGTATTTTTACATCAGGTAATGCACTTTTGGAATCAACATGATAAAGAGTTAACACAATATAAAGATATTTTAAGATCACATAAGAAAGAGTTGACATAACGTAATTATATATCCACATCACGGAATTGAGTTTTGACATAATGTGATTAAGTGTTGATATAATATAAAGATATATTCACATAATGTCATACACTTTTTACACCACGTAATAAAGCACTGACATAAAGGTAAGATGTGTTCACCTCACATCATGATGCTCTCGCCGTAAAATAAAGATTTAAACCCATATCATGTAATAATGCTTTGATATAATAAAAATATACACTCTCGAAAAGGAATGGATTTTTGACTTCATGAAATGATAAGTTTAATTATAAAACACAATTCACTTGACGTAATGCAATTTTGTCCTCTCATATTAAAGAAATGAAATGATGTAAAGAAACATTCATTTCACGTAATAAAGTTTTAACACAATGTAAACACATTATCGCTTCACATAATGAATTTTCGACTTCAAGTTCTGGAGTGCTGACATAATGAAAGGATGTATTTACTTCATGTAATGCAGCATTGACATGATGTAAAGTTATTTTTACATAATCTCATAAAGAATTGACATAACGTAAAGATATGTTCACATCACGTAATGATAAATTGACATAATAAATGCATAGTTGTATGCTATAAGGCAGTGTTGGCGTTCCATACTATACAGTCAGACCTTATCATTCAATAAGCAGATCTATGGGTCTTCCAAATCAATTCAACATATCCATCAGTTTTTTTCACCTGTTAAGCATGTTTGCAGACTGTGAATATAGAATGAAATTAGGCCTATTTTATCCCTGATCTAAAATAGCCCAATCCTTCCTCCACTCCCACCGCCATGAGGCTGATGAGCCATGTTCTGCATTGAAATCTGCAAACCAAAATGTTTCATTCAATATATTGTATTGCCCTTTATGATTTTTTAATAAATACTCCCCTACCGATGGTGATGCCGAGTGCCTCCGGTATAACAGTTCCGACTTTCTTCTCGCCGTGCATGACAAACGTCGTTCTAGGGTGAGACCGGCTTCAGAATGCAGCGCTTTTCTGCTGGGAAGCTGGGCCAAAATGGTGCCTGACTGGTCCTTCGGAAACGCAGATCATTCTGTTCTACTTCTATAACTTCTGTTGCATTAAAATTAAAGAAGAAACCTTTATCAAGATCTTTACACAAATGAACGTGATGAAGATCTAATTTTAAAATATTAGGCTTACAGTGCTTGTTAACATGTTTGATGCTGGGTCGTGATTGCACTTAAAAATTTTCCAACAATGGTATCTTGTACAGACATACCCTCTCCCTTTCGCAGAAAAGTTGGAAAATTCTTTGTTTGTCCTGTATGATCCATACTGTGGTTTGGTTTATGCATGGAATATGACGTCACGCTGTATTATGATGCTGTGACGAAAGCGCTGCATATATAAGGATCTAGTGTGGTTTGTTGTGACGAAAGCGCTGCACATTTAAGTAAAGGCGGATCCAATAAATAGAAGACAAAAATCTAAAATAGAAAAATTATGGCAGCAAATTAAATCCCTTAATTATTAGAACTTGACCTCGGTGTAAATTCTTGAAAAATAAATAACAATATTCTGTTTTAAAAATCTAGCATAAAATTGCATTTCAAATGAAAAAAGTTAAAATAATGATTGAGCAGTGATCCATCGAAACAAAATATATAAACAAAACAATTTTGTAAAGAGGACATAAAACGCGAACCCCTAGTAATATCAGAGGTGAGATCAGGTGCCCTATGAGAAGTAAGTTCAGCTGTGTGCCAGTTATATTCAGCGTGAGCCCTATGTTCATGTTTTGGTCAGGAAAAACTCGACATTCTCTAGTAAAAGTCAGTATTAAATGGAATAACAACCCAATGATATTTGCTTACAAGGTCATTATAAGGACCATTTTATAGTTAAAATAAGTTTAATTTAAACCGAAGTTGTTAAAATTCTTGTAACACCAACTTATCTGTCAGTAGCCTGTCTGATAATCGTACCCGGGGCTCGGTTCTTGAGTATCGAATACTTAAGTTTGAAGATGTAAAAAAATATATCTATATAGATATGCAGATTCGTGTAGCTGATAGCAGGATAGCACCACATAAATGCATGTGCATGTATATAAGGAAAGTTGATGATTGAAAAGTTGAAATCATCTTGTTTGTCATCCAAGTTAGTTGTTTGTTAGTCCTTATCGTCTATAGCCAGTAAAATATCGATTTTAAAAATATTCAACAGATTTGGCAGACTTTGTAGTGTCTTTTATTTCAAGTTCACCGGTATACATGGAATCGACAAGATGTGCAAGGAGCGTCCAATTAACGCAAATAATGGATGATGTCATATGTTAGCTAAACATATCATTAATTCTATTTAATATTTCGCGCAATATATAATATGTGCTTCAGTTTAAAGAATAAGAAACATTGAAATTCAAAGAATTGTGGTCTCCGCTTTCGTTGTCTTTGTGGGTGAGATGTCATTATTTATGGCATATTGTGTCAAATATGAACGCCCTGTCTTATGTCATTCAAAAGTAAGGCCTCACTAAATCAAAGCTGATATTTTTGAAAATTAGGTCAAACATGAAGGTCAAGGTCACAGGGTCAGAAATCATAGAATACTCGGAAATAACTTGTCACAGGTAATGCACATGTCAAATATAAAAACCCTACCTCTTCTCAATCAAAATTTATAAGAAACAAGATGTGTTCGTAAAACACTGATGCCCCCGTATGGCAACATAGCAAAGATTAAGCTTTTCTTAAATGCAAATTTAATTAATTGGTACCAAAAGTAGGTTAATCTCACTGGAAAACAATTGTGAAATTTGAAAGTAAGCTAATGTTAAAGTTTTTTAATAATTACAAAAATCTCCAAGGTCAAGGTCAAAAGGTCAATGTAATTAGTATCAAATGAAAGGTCTTGCCACATAAAATACTTTTGTAGAACATGAAAGTCCTAGCCCTAACCGTTCAGAAGGTATGGTCAACGTTCAATTTCTTAAAAAATAGGTCAAACTCCAAGGTCAAGGTCAAAGAGTCAAAGTTATTGTTATCAAATGAAAGGTCTTGTCATAAGGATCAAATATGAAAAGTATGAAAGCACTAGCCCTAACTCTTTAAAAGTTATGGTCAAGGTTTGCTTTTTTAAAGTAGGTCAATCTCAAAGGTCAAGGTCAAAGGGTCAAAGTTCTTGGTATCCAATGAAGGGTCTTCTCACAAGGATTACATGTGTGAAGTATGAAAGCCCTATCCCTTACCGTTCACAAGTTATGGCCAAGGTTAAAGTTTTTTGCACAAGTAAGGAAATCTACAAGGTCAAGGTCAAAGGGTCAAAGTTGTTGTTATGCAGTGAAAGGTCTTTTAACAAACATTATATATGTGAAGTATAAATGTCCTGGTGTCTACTGTTCAAAAGATAGAGCCAAAGAAAAATTTTAAAATTTTCATGTAAAAGTTGGTCAAACTCCAAGGTAAAGGTCAAAAGGTCAAATTTGGTGGTAACCAAAGAAAGGTATTGTCATAAGGATCAAATATGTAAAGTATAAAAGCACTGGCCCTAACTCTTTAAAAGTTATGGTCAAGGTTTGCTTTTTTAAAGTAGGTCAATCTCAAAGGTCAAGGTCAAAGGGTCAAAGTTCTTGGTATCCAATGAAGGGTCTTCTCACAAGAATTACATGTATGAAGTATGAAAGCCCCATCCTTTACCGTACAAAAGTTATGGCCAAGGTTAAAGTTTTTTCACAAGTAAAGAAATCTACAAGGTCAAGGTCAAAGGGTCAAAGTTGTTGGTATCCAGTGAAAGGTCTTTTAACAAACATTACATATGTGAAGTATAAATGTCCTGGTATCTACTGTTCAAAAGATATGGCCAAAGTAAAATTTTAAAATTTTCATGTAAAAGTGGGTCAAACTCCAAGGTCAAGGTCAAAAGGTCAAATTTGGTGGTACCCAAAGAAAGGTCTTGTCACAAGGAATACACATATGAAATATGAAAGTCATAGCTCCACTAAATCAAAAGTTATGGGCAAGGTCAAAGTTTTTGCGGACAAACAGACAAACGGAGTCAGACAGAGAGACAGACACACAGCTAGACAGACGGACGGACACGACAAACTATATGCCCCCGAAACTTCGTTTACGGGGGCATAAAAAAATAACATTTTTGAAAAGTTGGTAAAGCATCAAGGTTCAAGGTCATGGGGTAAAAAATTATGGTGTGTTTAGGAAGGTCTTGTCACAGGATAATCGGAAATGTGAAAACCCTATCTCTTCTCATAAAAAAAAATTATGAAGTTATGATTTTGGACAACGTGGTCTTGACCTTGAAGTTTGTCCTACTTAAAAAAACTTTAACCTTGGTCATAACTTTTGAATGAGAAGAGATAAGACATTTACATTTCACATGTATATTACAGTGCACATGTACCTGTGACAAGACCTTCCTGGATACACTATGATTTTTTACCCCGTGACCTTGAACGATGACGCTTGACCTTAGAAATTTTCGAAAATGCTATTAATTCTTTTTTCATTATAACTTTAGATTGAGAAAAGATAGGACTTTCATATTTGACATGTACATTTCCCGTGACAAGTTATTTCCGAGCATGCTATGATTTCTGGCCCTTGATTTTCATGTTTGACCTAATTTTAAAAAAAATAGCTTTGGTGATAACTTTTGAATTACATATGATATGGTATGGGCGGCGGAAAGGGTAAAAAAGACGTTTATGAAAAACTAACAACTAATTTTATAAACATAATGAAATACAAAACAGACAACCTTAAAAACAAATCAACAGACTCGTTTGCAAAATCAACAGACTCCGATGCGAAACCAACGATCACCAATGCAAAACCAACGATTATTCACTGAATTGTCGCTAGATGGCGTGCAAAAAACATATATTACCTGAATTAACGCTAGATGGCGCGCACCTTTTTCTACGTCATCATTATTTTTGTACTTTCATAGGAACGTAAATGGATCAGGGCCACAATTATAGAGTGAAGGTCAAAAGGCTGAAAAGTAGCACATAAAGGAAATGTGCATGCCTTCCTTAATGCAATGATAAAAACAAAATCATGCTCACATGTTTGTGAATTTTTCTGGGTATAGAATAAAAGTTTAATGTCAAAAGTTTACAATGATATGCATCAAGTACATTTCAAGCATAAATTATGCATAGAAATATGGATTGAAATGAGAGGTCATTTGGTTTGTTTACACATCTTAAGCCAAGCGAGAGTTTTTCGGAGGTCATGACGTCAGAAGTTTATTAATAACCAGGGATTTCCACATTGAACACACCCATTTTTATATGAATATTTATCTGACACATTGCTCTGTCATGTGTTAAAAAATATTTTGGAAATGAATCTTTTTTAAAAAGTTACAAAGACAGTGGCGTAGCATCGTTTTTGAAAGTGGGGGGGCCAGCCAGAGAAAATATTTTTTTTACTTACCTGAAAAAGTTGACAAGCAAAAAAAAAAAGGTAAAAATTGCCCAATGTCAAAAATCCATTTCGGGGGGGGGGGGGGTAAACTTTTTCTCAGTGTAACTACTTTCAGTAACAATTCTAATGCTACATTTTCAGTACATCACTAAAAGTGGAGGGGGGGGGCAACCAGGTTTTCAGTTAAGATTTTCTATAGTATAAGTAAGGTTGGGGAAAAAAGGGGGGCAGGCCCTCCCTGCCCCCCCCCCCTGTTGCTACGCCCCTGAAAGAAACCAAACACATGTTTTACTATATAAGTCTATATATGTACATGTAAGCTAATTGAAGTCCGGGTCCAAATCCCGCGAAATTGTCTAACAACATCAATTTTGCAAACCTAGGATAATAGCATCATGTCGGACTTTTAAAATTCAAACATATTAGAGGCAGCAAGACAAACATCTGTAAATATATTACAAGAAACCAGTAGCAGATATTGTTTTTCCCCAAGAGAAAATTTTTGAAAGAAAAAAAATCCCCTTACACTCTTAAAAAAAAAGTTCATATAAAATTATTTTATTGTGTTCATGCATTACACAATTTGTTGATACATGAAAATTCACTTGGCAAATTGTACTTTTATCATTTTTGCTTTTCTTTGTACGACTAAGTGAAGTCTATAAAATTTATTTTAGAATAGGTTAATTTAGGAAGCAAACTGATTAAAAACAGATCCTTTGATCCGCTCACATAAATCGCTACTTGTTTAGCGATCTATGTGCGCGAATCAAAGGATCTGCGCGTGAAAAAAATATGGGCTGGATTGTTTAATCCCCCCCCCCCCGAAAAACAGGATCTGCGCCCGTACAGATATGAATTATATAATATACAGAAAAGATAAATGCTCTGAGGAACAGGATAATCAAGGT